TAATCGAAGTATTCAAGCAAGCTGAAGAGAAGGGAAGTTTATTGAATGTGTAAGAAGAGTATCATCATCATCAGCGTCGTCGTCGTTATGTGTAGCTACTCTCTAGGTTATGATAGAAGCGGTAATGGGTGAGGGTAATCCTGGTGAAAAGATAGATCATAAGTTCTATGCTTTGGCTAGAGAGTTAACTCTTAAACATGATTCTATACTTATAATAGATTCGGTACAAGCTGGATTCCGCTGTATGGGTGTATTAAGTATAGTTGATTATCCTGGTTATCAGAATCTACCTCCACCTGATTTTGAAGTATGGTCTAAAGCTATTAATGCTGGACAATATCCAGTATCGATATTAGCTATGAATGAGAGAGCATCTACATATTATAGGCATGGCGTGTATGGTAATACTATGACTGGTAATCCTAGAGCATGTGCTGTTACTTCTGCTGTGTTAAAGGAGATATATAATAATCCTAATATTAGACAGAATATTGTGGATATGGGTAAGTATGCTGTTGATCAATATAAAAGGTTACAGGATAAGTTCCCACATGCTGTTACTAATGTAAGTGGTACTGGTCTATTGTATGCTGTACATTTACATAAAGATATACCAGTAGTTGCCTTTACTGGTGCTGAACATTGGTTAAGATGTCATGGTATTGGTGTTATACATGGTGGTGAGAATGCATTAAGATTTACTCCACATTTTAATGTTACTAAAGAAGAGATAGATATACAAATAGCCATGCTTGGTAGATATTTAGTAAGTATTGAAGGACATATGCCTATATTGAAGACTATGCTACAAAGAGTTCATGGTGCTAATCATCATAATACTAGGTCCAAAGATACTACTACTACCACCACTCAACACTTAGCTATCACTCAACTTAATAAAGGTAACTATTATTATAAGATCGTATTTAATGATCTTTGTTAGGAACCCTTCATGGTGATGATGATACTGCTGCTACCACTACTACTATACTACTACGTGGACACTTGTTTGATTCACAATTGGTTAACTCTGTATTAGATATTGTTGAAGAACATAAGAGTGTTGCTCATTTTAGTAGGATACGTTTAGGATCATCTGTAGATGAAACCTCAGAGGTTGGTATCAAAGTAACTACTTCTACTCATGTTGTTGGTGGTGGGTCTACTCAATGTTATTCACTTAATGATACTATTAATGAGATAACTAAGATGGCAGAAATGCGTAATTGTAGTGCTACTATTGTTGATACTATCACTACTAGTGAGGATGATAATAATGCTGATGATGAAAACCAGCAGTAGTAGTATGATGATGATAATCATCATCATTGGATAACAATTTTTTATTGGATGATGAATACACATGATATAGTCCCTCCTCCTCCTATTTTTGCTTATGATCGTCGTCTGTCTTAGTTTAATGCTTGTTATTGTCGTGTTGATGATTATGATAGTGGAGGTATGGTGATGGGTGCTCACGGTGAGATTTATTGAACATCATTACCACACTAGGACATTAGGATAACAGTACAGATGTAATATTATATTACGAATAATAATCGTTATCAGGGATTGTAATGTAATACCACCATCATCGTGTATATCGTCACAATGAGTCATAGAAACATTGAGTTATGATGACATCAACCCTATTAAGAGGAGGAAAAAGGTTGGTAATAATTGATTACTACTAATTCAACTTGATGTGTCCTGCGGTATACTACTGTATTAGAGTTATGGTGATGGTCGTTGTGGAATTGTGATAGGACCATTCATTGTCGGTGTATTATAATGGACTAAGATAACCACACTGAGAGGAGGGATATTAGATTAAGACCATAAAGATGGTGGTGAAGGGATGGTAAGGATCACCTCCACCAGCACCACCTCTTGTATACCTCCCTTATCGGGGCGGTGGTTAACAGTCACCGTCTACTGCTACTACCTACTGCTGCTGCTGTTCCCTTGCAGGATCAAGTCGTCGTCCTTTTGGGCTCATGCTGATGATGATCATGTTTCTATGGTTGTGCTAGTATCACAATATGAGTACATCATGTTATTGGGTTGATCATAAATATAGTCATACTTTATGCCAGCTTGATACTAATGCAACAACAACAAGAAGAGGAGGAGGAGGAATATGATGATGATAATAGCAGCATCCATCATCATTATATTATATGCCGAGTTAAGTTCTTTGATCATAAGAAGGGTTTTGGTATTATAGTACCTCTACTGGATAATAATAATACTACTAATACGATATGCAACAATACTAATGATACTTCTTGTTGTATTATTAAAGATGATATAAAGTTGTTTATGCATCAGCTTATGATGACCACAAATAATAAGTGTGGGGAATCAATCGTTAAATGTACCTTATTACAGCTCCATAGAGGTATGTTGGTTAAAGCTGTATTGAAGCCAACCACAGCAGATGATAATTATGCTATTAAATGTAATATGGTTAACTCAATGATAGTAGAT